CCCTAAAACATATATTTTTTTCGTGAAAATTAAAAGCTGGACCCTTTCAGCCTGCCTGATATGGGAAATTTCATCTCAAATCGGGCAGAATAAAAAAGTATGAATTTTAATTTTCACGAAAAAAATATATGTTTTGGGGGCATTTATAAAATAAAAGAGGGCGCAAACCGCATGTTCTCCAGATTTCTTGTTCTTCAGTTACGAAGCGTAGAAGCCGCAGTGGCAGAAACTAGAGTTTTTGCCTGCCGTCGCAGGTCGCGTGTTTGACACCCTCTGCTGGCGCCATTGTTTTCTCTACACCTTTTTAACTTTCCCCCCTCATTTAATAGGTATTATAAAGATACCTTGATGTATTCAAATAGTTTTAGGAATTTGATTGTTTTCTAAAAAACATGTCAAACTCGTCACTCCGGTCGCTTTTCGGTCAAATTTGACAGGTCATTACTTTGTCTGTACTTAAGGTAAATTTTCTTTATTTGGCTCTACAGAAAGCACAAAGCAAGCCCATTATAGATATAATAATATCATTATTATTTGCCAAGTAGCCGCTCCGCTACTTTCACGTAAACGTTGTGAAAAATAACAAATGTTCACTCAATTCACGCGATTGCGGCTCAAACAGAGGACATACAACCAATATATTACATTTCTAGACTGTTTTTATCTTGTAGTCGACTAATATGTCTAAAAGAAATTAAAAAATAAAAATTTACAAAAATGGGGTTTTTGAGAAAATCGACCTCAAACTTTCAACATTTGTTATTTCTTACAACGTTTACGTGAAGGTAGCGGAGCGGCTAGTTGACAGATCATAATGATATTAATATATCTATAATGGGCTTGCTTTGGGCTTTCTGTAGAGTCAAAGAAAGTTTACCTTAAGTACAGACAAAGTAATGACCTGTTAAATTTAGCCGAAAAGCAACCGGAGTGACGAGTTTGACTTGTGTTTTAGAAAACAGTCAAATTCCTAAAAATATTTGAATACATCAAGGTATTTTTATAATACCTATTAAATGATGGGGAAAAGTTAGAAGGGTGTAGAGAATACAATAACGTCAGCAGAGGGTGTCAAACACGCGACCTGCGACGGCAGGCAAAAACACTAGTTGCTGCCACTGCGGCTTCTACGGCTCGTAACTCGAGAACGAAAAATCGGGAGAACATGCGGTTTGCGCCCTCCTTCATTTGAGAAATACCCCAAAAACATATCTTGTTTTCGTGAAAATTAAAAATTAGACCCTTTTAGCCTGCCCGATTTGAGATGAAATCACCCATATATATATATATATATATATATAGATATCAGTGTGTCGAACCGAAAAAAATACGGGTTCGGTTACGGTTCAGGTTCAGGTAAATTTATTTTGTTCCGGTTCAGTTCCGGTTCGATTAATTCGATCTGCGTACCGGTTCGCGAACCGGTTCGGGGCGCTGAACCGGTTCTCGAACCGGTTCGGAAATTATAAATGACAAATTGCAACATCAAAATAAATTACAAATAAAACATCTGAAATCAGCACATACGAAACGGGATACATCGTAGTGTAAGGCTCAGGGATTTCTACCAGGAATGGTTTCTTTATGTACACTCAAAGGTTACCTCACCGACGTTTACGCATTCGGACTTCATCTAATTGGGTCCGACGCAGTAGCTGTAAAATCCGCGACCTCCTTACAAACCCACTTACAAGTAGAACTCGCTAACTATCCCGCCACCTCGGCGTGTAAGCAATTGAAGGAACAGTGGGAAGAAAATACAGCTTTCTTTATTTGAACTAGCCTTCGGTAACTCAAATTAGACCCTTAAAGAGGCGGTGCAACGATATTCAATTGGAATGTTTTTCACTTTACACGAGCTTACTGGCACTAGTGGGACTCAAGGATACTCGCACGCAACGCCACTGACCAAGAAACTCCTTTGTTGCGCTGTAATTTCGAGGACAAAACCGAGTGTTTTCATTCAATCTCTCCTTCGCAAAACCTTATGACGTAGCTGGGCGGTAGCAGTACCGCCCAGTGACGATATTTGAATGCTGTTCATAGATTGGACCCGAGCATGGCGTGGACACTCGATTTGGGCTCGTGATAATCGATAGCTCGAGAAGCATTCGGGTAGTGTCCTGTGTCCAATCGCTGCAATGACGACAACAGCCGAACCATAACAATGTCTGGAACTCAGCGCGTGTCCTGTGCCTTGCCAACCCCAGCGCATGGCTATGATCAACATTGGCGGCATATAATCGGCTCCAGATCACGGGGCCGCTTGTTCTGGCTGCGAGTTGAGGGGGTGAATTCTGCTCGTTTTTCTTTATTTTTTTCTGCGACTTCGATTGCGTGTGGTGAAAACGAACGGGTATTTCACAGATCCTTAACGTCAGGGATTCGTTCTAAGCGGTATTTGCGCAAAATACAAATATTAGTGCATCGCACCTTTAAAGAAGTTTTCATTAAACAAGATACGGAATATGAAAAACACTTCACCGAACGCAACGCCAGAAGGACTTAATAGGATAAATATTAAAATGGAAGAGTTCGCTGTCTCACAAATATGTTAGCTTCTAAGTGCCTATACGAAACCGGATGCATTATTATCAAACTCCACAGCCTTTTCTTTTCTCATTCCGATGGAAGCAAGCTTCAAGAACTCGCGCGTTCTAGAAACGTGTTATGAAATGAGCACACAGCAGCATTTAGGATTTACGAGATTGTAGGAAAATAAAATCCCGTGACGCGATTTTTTTTTTTTTTTTTGCACAGCTTTTCAATTTTTTTTTTTTTTTTTCGTGCAAGCCGCGACCAGCGCAATACTGGTTCCTATGTCAAGATTCATGGATGCAGCGTTTATATTCCTAAGACTGAGTGGAGAAGAAAAATATGTAAGCGAGGTGTGTGTCAGTTGACGGCACTTAAAAAAACAAATGGCATTGATAGCACATTCATTGTCAACAGCGCGTGGCCGAACCGTTTTGACATGAGCCGGTAACCGTTATTTTTTTTCCGGTTCAGTTGCGGTTCGGGTTCATCGCGATAACAATATAACGGTTCGGGTTCGGGTTCAGTTCCGGAAAAAATACCGGTTCGGTTCTGTTTTCGGTTCGGTTCGGTTCCGGTTCGACACCCTGATATATATATATATATATATATATATATATATATATATATATATATATATTGTAATGATCCCTAGATTAGTCTTCCGAACTCAGTGGATGATCTCAAACGTTCATTTATTCTGCCTTATTCCGTTCCTCGTTTTCTTCTTCTCTTTTTCGTTGTCCTGTTTTCTCCATTAGAATGGCAATCTGGGCTAGTTGGTTCATGATAACTTTCAGGGCGCCGAAAATACACAAGGACAAGATACAAGAAAGGAGACGTGAACAAGGCGCACTCGCAACTAGCGTTTATGAAAAAACCACTCTCTTATATACTCATGGAAAACAACACAGTCATACTACACAGTCATACTACACAGTCATACTACCCAGTCATACTACCCAGTCATACTACACAGTCATACTACACAGTCATACTACACAGTCATACTACACAGTCATACTACAGAGTCATACTACACAGTCATACTACACAGTCATACTACGTCCGGTGTAGCCCCCTTCGTAGAAAAGTGTGCTCTTTTGCCGATAGTGACACAGACGTGTCACTAATGCAGTCCTTGCCCTTTTCTTTTATTTCGAAGGCCTCGTGCAGCTCCCTCGATATCCGATCGGCGTATCTGGCCAAAAACCTCGTGTCACTAAATGACGGTGTGCAGGAGCAACGGCTGCAGTGCGTGGCGAGGTGTCCCGACGGGGTAGCCCGTGTAGCCGCAGCATGTTCGCGGGCGCGATCATTAAAGCATCTGCCCGTTTGGCCAATGTACGATGCTCCGCATGACATGGGGATTTCGTATATGACGCCCGTAGCACATTCCGTGTACCTGTTGCGGTGCTTCGTATTGCAAGGATCTGCTGACACACGGGGATTGTTGATTCTGCGACACAGTCTCGATAGTTTGTTTGGTGCGGAGAACACAATAGGCACATCGTACCTATCAGCAACCTTTTTAAGATTGTGGGTTAGTGAGTGTACATAGGGGATTACCACCGGCCTCACTGCTGCTCTTTCACGGGGCTGCCTCCGTGTGCCTTTGAACTTTTTTATTAGGGTGTCCGCTACATCCACCAGAACTCTCTGCGGGTAGCCCGCTTTTTGCAACCTCGCTGCCTGTCTCGTGAAGCTCGCTTGAGCGGTGTGTGCACACGATCTTCTTAGTGACGCCTCGAGACAACTAGATGCAATTCCTCTTTTTACAACTTTCGAATGGGCCGAGCTGAACGGAAGGATACCCTTCTTAGAGCGTGGCTCATATGTCCAGCATATGTGATTTTCTTCAAGACTTAGCCTAAGGTCCAAGAACTGTATATGCCCGTTCTTTTTTTTCATAAACGCTAGTTGCGAGTGCGCCTTGTTCACGTCTCCTTTCTTGTATCTTGTCCTTGTGTATTTTCGGCGCCCTGAAAGTTATCCTGTTTTCTCTCACTCCTCGTCGTCGTTGGCAATCTGATCCGAATCAACTTCATATATATATATATATATATATATATATATATATATATATATATATATATTTATTTATTTATTTATTTATATATATATATATATAAACTTATAATTTGAGTTACAGACGTGTGTATTGATATGTTGAGCCAATCTTGCGGCAAACACATTGTGCAAATTTTGCTTGCGGTTTCACATCCGCGATGCCGGGCCTTCCACCACGCTTTTTTTTTTTTTTTTTGCCGCACGAGCCACGTCGCAATTGCGAAATCGCACGTAGAATCGAACCATGTGAATCAGTCTTATCTATTGGGATCAAAAAGCACCCTGCCGCACATGGCACCCAAAATGGCGCCGATGCCACTTTTCGCAGCGTAACCTTGTCCAGCGTAAGGTGTCAAACATTTTGTGAGAATATCTCGAAAGGCTTCGTCCCTTACCAGTGTCCGTGAGGAGGATAGCACTAAGGCTGTTCTTGTAGGAAGGGTGGCTGTGGTACCAGAACATTACGTGGTCACTCCTGAGGAAGTTGAGGTGTGTGGCGAGGCTGACGGTGAGTGGCTGGGCCCCCAAGGGGATGGACAAGCTGTGCAACCGGTAGCGCGGTCGCTCCTGCTGGTCCCAGGCCCGGGCAAACGCCAGGGTGAGCCGGCTGTCCAGCTGCCACCGTGACATGCTGGCCAGGAAATTGCCACGGTAGCCGTCCGCCGCTATCGCATAGGCAACATCTGGGCTGGCCTGGAAACGTGTGCCACGTTTTAGAATTGGCGAACTCAGCTAGCCATTATTTGTCTTAAGAAATAACTGTTCTGGAAATTGCGTCAGGTCGGTGCAGGAGGTGACGTCTAACCCTGCGCGTTGGCCAGGGTTCGAGGCCCAGCCCGACCGGGCTTAATAATTTAGACTGGATTCATATTTCTAAGCAGTGCTTAAAATTGGACGACTCAAATTTCTAATTGCGTAGTAATATAGTAAAAACACCCAAATGCAAACGAGCGCCGAGTGTAAACGTCGCAGAGTTACTTCCTTTGGATTGCGTGCTTTGAGCACCGTGCGATTCGTGTACTCACGCTCTGAAAGTCCTTGGGTATGTCCTGGGAGTGCCTTGAATTGTTGTAGTGTAATATGGTGTCTAGAATAATGGCCCCTTGAAACTTGGACGAGTCTCGGAGCAGTTCGCTCGGTATGAGGAAGTCGTGCACGAAATAATAGCTTCCGACGCAACCCTGGAAATACATCGCACATTTAGAACGCAATCAATGGGCCCCGCGACAGTAGGTTGCATGCGCCGCCTTAAAATGTAGGAACCTGAAAGGTACGTATTCGACGATATCTATAATATCATGTTGTAGCCTATAATGGTAGTGCGCAAAGTTAATAAAATACCCAAATAAAAATAACGAGAAAATATATAACTGTCAGAATACAGTATGGTAGAACTTATTTTTAAACGACATGAGATCCCCATGAAAACATCAACCCGGTATGTGTTGATTAAAAGTGCTGAAGCGTTGACAAACAGTTATAGGGTGATTTCAGATAAGATCGACCAAAGGGTGGCTGGTCGATATTTTTAAATCAACTGATGTTTTTATATGACATTGTCTAGTGTCTGGTATAAACGAATCCACACTTAGTTTTGACCAGAAAAAAAATTTGGAGACAAGAAAAATCGTAAGGCAGGGAGAGGTGGGCAGTTGCAATAACGCGCACTGATGGAGGGGGCAAGTTTGAAAGTGAATAATTAAAACAAGAAAATTAGGAGAATTTTAAAACTTTTTACAAACAAACTATGGGTACAACTTGCTTGTAATATAAAGTAATAATATTTATTAAAAATTTATTTAGTTTTCTAAAAATTGCCAAACATGCCTGCTCGAACGACAAATGGCAAACTTTGGAAATCTTTATCTCATGAAATAATTTAATCATTATTACATAACTTGCAGACATTATTTTACTAATATATGGCTATTATTGAAAAAATAAATAAGGTATCTGAGTGACACAATAGTTACAATATATTTAGGCAAACATGGGAAAAAAATCAAACAAAGAAAAATTCCAATGCGAATAAAAAAAAAACACCACCTTCGATTTTTTTAAAATTTGGGTATTCTGTTATACTCTATTTCGGCATTCATTTCTATTAAAAACATGTTGCATCATTGCACTGTGAAAGAAGAAACAACTCCCCAAAGTAGGGTCCTTTTTCAAAGCCTACACTTAGCAGTGTCCTATACAAGAAGTGACTCTGAGTTCCAGTTTCATGAAACTTGCACAAATCTTTTATATACATTTATTCAGATGAGGTCATTGATAAAAAGAGCGATCGGTCACACAGTAAAAGGGAGGAGAAACTATATACAGCATTTTACATAAGCGTACAAAGTGGTATCATATTAGAGACTAATGATTTGAGAAAAGATGATGCAGTGTGAAGTTGTACCTTCCGGTATATTTTACATCTAGAGTAAAATAAATAACTTTACTTCCACACACAAAAACAAAGATATAATAGTAAGATATTTAGGTTGGCTGTGTATTTACGATTACAAACAATTTCAGGTGACGGATGCCATAGTGCCTAACTGGAGCAGCTTCGATGCTCTCGGTGTATGAATGAATCGTGGCAAGCCGATATATTTTATCCTGCTCGAGGATAACCTTTTGGGATTTTTTTTTATAGTGATCAGATAAAAATTATTAGTAACCACCAACAAAAACAGTAGGTTAAATACCCCGTGAAGAAAAATGTGATAAATAAGATGTCCCTGCATTCAAAGTGAGCAGTCCTTGGGAAATCAAATTCGGCACTTTACGCTAAGGTTTTCCTCGCTGTACCCATTTAATAAAGTTGCTTCCAAGCAGATCCGACTGTCCGTGCTACATATACGTCACAGGTCCCTTCTGTTGATGACTTGCTGAGCCGCCACGCGTGCCAATTAAGACTGAATGCCAGGGAAGGCGCGCACCGTCAGCCACTCTTCTTTTTTTTGTTCACGATACCGAACAACCTCATTTTCGTCCAGATATACAAGATGCACGCCTTTCAGTTTCTTTGATAGAACGCTCACCATTGTCCTGGCCGTCTGAATTGCGCTTACTGAACGTTCTCTCAGGTTGTTCAGCGTGGCCTGGTGCTTCACGAGTCCGCCAACTCCGTCACATGCATTTTTCCCATGTCCAGATGCAGAAAATAACCACTGGGCTTGTGGGCAATCGTCCTTTGCAAATTGGTGAAGCTGGTAGCGATTCTTGAAATGACTGGCGGCGCCGTCACTTACGTACGTCACGTACGAGTATACCGCAACGTTGTCTTCAACCCACTCCTTCACTTTTTCTAGAGCCAAGCAAGCGTGAGCGGCGTCGTGACACAGGTCCTCACTGATGATGGCAAAGCTGTTTGTAGATTTTCTTGTCGTCACTACACATGTAAATATCGAAACTTGTTTTTTTTTTTTCCAGTGATATGCTTGCACTTCGTCAGGAAGCACGATGGTCCAGTTTTCAGCAAAGTCAAAATGAAAGACAATGCTCCCGCGTTGCATGCACTGTTTTTCATTGTAGATCGCTTTACCTTGCGTTTGCCGGATATGGTTGTGAAGTACCCAACTTCCAACCGTCACTTGGATGACTTTTAGGAAAGTCTCAGGTTCCAAAGTTTTTTTCACAAGGTCGCCGGACTCCCATGTTGCAAGCACAATCTCTTCATCCTCCGGGATATCAAGTTCCTGGAGTGTAAGAAACTGGCCTTTTGGGCAGTGATCACAGTCTCCTTGAAGGCACAGTTCTGTTGCTGGGTCGCACAGAAATGCCGAGTTCATTTCACCAGTGTTGAATGTTGAGCCTGTAACGTTCTCTAGAGCGGCAATACAAAGATAATAATTGGCGCAGCGCACACAAACGCACACTTCCTGGTGTGGAATACATTGGACCCATCTAGGGCGCAACGAATAAAATTTCGTTAGCCCAACGCCGGAATCGGGATGCTTGTCTTTGTATATACGGAAGGCCTCTCGTATTGAGCGTGTCATGAAGCGCTTTGGCACGAACGTTTTCTCTCCGTTGAGCATGACAGAGATGACGTCCTTCTGGTTGGGACTTTGGCGCGAACATTGTAGCTCGTCTTTCGTGAAGTACTCTAGGGCAGCAGACAGGTTCTCAGGGCTCACCTTGCACCTCGTGTAAGGATCCGGCTCATACCACACGCCATGCTTTTCCTTGAGTTTTCGGGATTTACTGATGAGGTACATTGAGGCCTGTGGAATCATCTTTTGAACCTCATTCTTCGTCAGTGTTGACGGCAGGAGTGTAAGCAGTTGACAACGTTCCCGGAGAGAGGTGGCGCTTTCAAAGGCCTGCCGAAAGTTGTCCACCCACTCAGTGCATGTGGAGCATGTTGGTTCGGACGACCCCGATGGTGCGTCCCTGTCGTACGCAATACGTAGCCTTGAGCGTATATTCTTGACAGCAACCTGCTCCAGTTCTGTCTGCTTTCTCTTGACATAGGCAGGCCTGTCCCGACTTCTTACGACGCTTGGTTGTCTCAGCGGCGACACATCTGTAGGTAGTATGCTGCGATTTAGATCTTCAATTGCTTCTTCAGCTGGCACAAATATCTCAGGGCACTGCTCTGAGCTTCGCGTCGAGATCTCCTTAGTGATGTGCACGAAGCAATGGTAGCACAGGTAGTCCGTCGCACTCACTTTGGTGGAACAGTCAGGCGGAAGAATTTGCTTCAACGAGTTTAGGTCCAACTCGCCAACACTTCGAAAATTCCGCTGCTTTGGTATACTCTTTTTGTGTTTGCAAAAGTAATCTGCACAAAACACTCGTTCGGAGCTCCAGGACGTCTTCATAATGTATACATAAATAATAGAAATTAAACCCCAACTGATGGCATATAATTGCCAAGTGAAAGAACTACTGGGTGCACAAGTGACAAGTCCGAGGCTGAGGAGCTCACTCACTGCAAACGTACATTTGAAAAGAGAGGTCACAACTGAGGCTGTCGGCAAAGCTTGATCCACGTCAAAGGAAGAAAGAGGGAAAGTCCCCAGACAAAAGATTGTGGTCAGCGGCCTTCGAAAAAGACTTCTTGGAATCGCACTGTCGTCCCTCCACGCGCTGATATGAAAGCACCCGAGCTTCTACCACGTGGTTCATGACACAGCCTGAGCCATGTCGGCGACCGGTTCGCGAGGGGTTGGCGGTGGGGTTACGTTGATGGTCACTCGGATTAGCCCTTGCTGTACTGAGCTACCGCCTGCAGTGCCTTATCGCCGGCTGGTGTCAACAACGAGAACACACACACCCTGTCTACACCAAAACTACAAGCGTTCACCGCACACGCGTCGCCGCCGCTTTTAAGCTTTTGTGAAATTGCTTTCTTTTGCCGCGGAGAACCGCCTTATCTTAACTACGCGCCTGAAATCCTTCCAGGCGGGCGTACACAATATCAAGCGTTTCGAGAAATGCCCGTGGAGTAGAACTATGGGAAAATTCGGAGCCCGCGATGTCGATATCGTCGCCGTTGTGTTAGTACGCCGTCGCGTACTGCAGTCCCCCGTTGGGGGAGGGGGGGGGGGGCGGTCTTACTACGATAACATGGCGACAGCGTTTACACTCTATGTATTTACGCGAGGCTCGAGTATTTGGGGATAATGCTGCCGGTTGGTGTGCCCCTTTGTGCCTGATATTATCGCCCGTGACGCCAGCGAGTGAGATGGCGACAGGCATGACTGCTCAGTAAACAGGCGTCGGCGGCCATGTTTTGCTGGTTGAAGCGAACCCCCTTGTCCTTGACAGCGAGCGGGGAAATGCGAAAAAAAGATTGTATCGGCCGTTTTGCCAGAACTAGCGACGAGTGTCGTCTGCGGTTTCCGGCAACTATTTTGCCATAATCGTGAGCTTAGCGACGAAATGATTTTTGCTAGCCACAGAACACTACCACGCAGAAAGGGAATGCTTGAACATGTTTTTGTTCTGGATATATATCAGGGATATATATGAGAGAGAGAGAGAGAGAGAGAGAGATGAAGGTAGAGCGGAAGAGGGAATAGCATATAGTGTCGCAGGAGAATAAAGTAAACAAAGTTCCTAGTGGCCGATGGCTGCATGATCTTTTCTCGGATCACTAGTCCGTAATATGGTACCTCTTTGTACACAGTAGTTTCTCCTTAATTTAAGTGTGTGAACGATTTCTTTAGTTATCATTGGCCTC